TTTCCCTTTAATAATCTAATATTAATACATGTTATGCCTGCAGCAGCCTTATTATGGAAATCATTAACTGAACTTACCCAGATGGTTAATCACTCTGAAAATGAAGATGAGACTGATGGTCACCTTAGTGACAATGGCAGTAACTGTGTAAGAACCCAGAGGGCGGGTTTAGACAGAGAGTGTTAAGAAAATGCCTGTTTTGGTGATGAAATTTATCTTCTGTACACTGAATTTTAAAGACCTGTGGAGGTGCTAGAGGTCTTTTGATGTCCCTGACATCTGAGGTTGCTTGGACATGAAACCTTTAAACTGAGTCTGCTTTCTTCAGCCTATGCTTCTTCCTGTCTCCTCAGTGATGCTGGCTCAAACATTTCTTCCAGCCTTTCTTTTTCTAGAAAGTTTTTCCTGTTCCTCACATTCCCTTCTTGTTTCTCTCAGGTTCTATATTGCCTCTGTTTTTCCCAAATGCTGAAGTTTTCAAATATCCTTCCATGAAGGTGACCATGTACTCAGTTGCATGCTTCCTCTTGGAAGGTCACTGCCTGCCTCACTGCATGGGATCAATGTCATCACTTAATGACTAGAAATTCAATACTTTGTTTTATGTGACAGTATATGATCCGTTTCTCACCTTCTTGTCCACTCTTAGATTTTTCTTTGACTGTGGGCTTGCATTTACTTGTGCTTAGCGCTGATCAGTATGATGTCTGACTGCTTCCTAACCTATTTCTTTTTTGGACATGGCTATAAGGCCTCATTCTTGTCATGCATGTACTGGTGAGGATCAACTTCCTCCAGGAGGTTAGTTGCCCCTTTCAGATGTTTATTTTTTCCTTTCTCCACCACTACTGTTTGGCTTGCAGGAAACCCCTGCTCATCTGTTTTGTGCACTTCAACTTTTGTAACAGCTTGGGCCATAGGGTGTGGACCTGCTAAGCAAACGCTGTTGGCAAAAATGGTCCCTGCCAAAATCAGCCAATGATCCAGCATGGTAATAAGGCTGTGCGGCAGTTTTATCCCTCATGTTTCCTGTCTTTCTTTTGCAGTCCTATTAGGAGAGGAATGGAATAAATGGGTTTTCTATAGTCTTCAGAAAGCAGAACTGGGAGAAAAGAAGATTTGCAGTTGTGTAGGTCTGTTTTCCTCTCAGCACTGGGGCAAGAGTGGAAATGGGTGATTCTCATCACTGACATCTGTCAGCATGTTTGTTGGCAGCTGTGTTGCCACAAATGGCAGCAGTAGCCCTCTGGGAGCTACCAGTGCAGGAAGATGCCAGTAGTTTCCCAACTACTTCTAGAAGCAGAGAGATGCTGAGTTGGGAACAGTGGGCCTAATTCACAGAGGTGTGGTGGGCATCTTTCTACTCGCTTTTCTCTGCAGAATGTTTCCTTTTATTCAGGGTCTCTCCTTCTATACTTTGCACATCTGTGTGTCCCTGACAACTACAAAAAATCCTCCACCTTTCCCTATCTAATGATATATTCTTTCCCTTTGACTAGAGAGAGAGATGAGATATTCTTTCCTTTTGACCTCCTTCCCCTTTTCCCTTTGACCAAAGGCTAACCTGGGAGATCTCCCAGTCTCTATTCCAAGATCAGACACCACACAGCTTTTTTTTGCAGAAGTAGCAGGGACATCTCTTCTTAGACACGTGACTTGTAGGAAAGAGCAGATTCCCCTCAAGTGATTCATGGTATTTGGTTTACCAAAGGGGAAAGAAGGGGAAAGTATGTTCCTTGAATACAAGAAGTCCAGAGAACTTTGTTGCTAAGCTCCGAATCTCTGTTGAACCTTTTTGGGCAGGAATTTTCAGATACTTACTGCTTGGCTAAATTTGAAGTGACTTTCTTAAAGGGGGGTGGACATACAAGATTTCTATTCTGGAAAAAGAAAGGGAGTACTTAGATATTCTCAGTCAAATAGCTGGAATTCTTTTTTATGTGAGTAAATTATTTCTTTCCTCCCTAATTTTTTCTTTGGAAATAGATGACTGAATAGTCTTTTAAAACTTTCATGCCAAAATGAAAACTAGTAAGAAACTATATGCAATTCTGTGCAGCCTGGTGAGGTTTGGGTGACAAATATTAATTCAAAACAGGCTTAAACAGAAAGTATTCAGGTGTGTTACCTACACATCTACTATGACCTTAAGTATTTGAGGGGTGAACCTTCAGCATTGGCTTCATCCAGTCGAACAATGAAGAAGTCAATTGAAATTTTTTACAGAGAGAGTGATCAGACATTGGAATGGAATGGGCTACCCAGGTAGGTGGTGGGTTCACAGTCCCTGGAGGTTTTTAAGATGAGATTGGATGTGGCACTTAGTGTCATGGTCTAGTAACCACAGTGGTAGTGGATCAAGAGTTGGACTTGATGATTTCAGAGGTCTTTTGACTGGTTGATTCTATGGTTCTATGAATAGCAGAGCTGATTGAAAACCAGTCCTCTATGAGACTTTTTGCAAAGAGTTAACTGGACTGGAAAGCCCACTTGTCCATTTTTCTTCATGTTTCAAAGGAGTTGAAATCTCTCCAAAGTGAGTGTGACAAACTAGGATAAAGCAGATCATTCTTGCTTGGTATGATTGCACTTTGACTGGGCAGTTTGCTGATTATATTTGTGGAGGACACAAAAATGGGGGACACCCATAGAAAGGCAAGTCTGTGTTTTCAGTAATCTAATAATGGTGGAGGTTCAGTCTGGGGTGGGGGGGTTTGGGAAGGGAATGTGATTTAGGAGAAAGGATGATTTCATTTGGACATGAAAAATCAGTGATATAAATACACCCTAGGAAGTGACTGGGTCCTTTACAGTTCAGCAGCATGAGTCTAAGGATTATAGTAGATCACAAGGTGAACATGAGTTAACAGTGTGAGTTTTGTGAAGAAGCCAAAATCATATTCCGAGGTGTATGAGTAGAGGCACAGTCTGTGAGACACATGAATATTATCCTTCCACTGTACTCAGCATCAGTGAGATCTTGATCTGAGCTGGGTCGATAAAGAGCGATGAGAATAGTCAAAGTCTTTAAAACATGGCTTGTAAGGAGAGACTGAAAATATTGTTTTAGTAAGAAGGAGATATTGTGACATTTAAGTAAGATAATATAGGGAAAATGAAAAAAAGAAAAAAGAAAAAAGAAAAAAAAAGACCCATGAAATGTTTCAAGTGAAACCCATTCAATTTCCTGGGAAGGTGACGGAGCTCCTGAGGCTGGCGACCTGTAAGCTAAGGTGAGGCAAATGCCTCTCAGGAATGATAGGGATGCAGTTGACCCTGCCTGGAGTTCAGGGGAATGGGCTACACGATGCCATGTGGTCCATTTTGCCTTTACAGCTCCCCGCTGTCCAAGTGCCTTCCCAAAGTACAAGGCAATGGGAATATGAGCTCTCATCCTTCTCTTTGTGTTTTTGTAGACCTGACTACTCCCATGTGTTTGAGTGTTCAGGAGGGTTTGCTCTTACAGAGCTCCCTGTACAGAGGAGTTAGAGTAGCTCTGTCACAGAGTTACCCTCTTACAGAGATCAGAAAGCAATTGGTGTGAGGAGGAAGGTCAGAACAGGTGCTAGGAAAACCCCTTTTCAGATACAGTCTGTTTCAAGCATTGGCAAGGCCCGATGTGTAAGTCATGTTCAGAGGTGGGAATGATCTAGCAGTTCATTCCTCTCATCAAACTGGAGAGGGAGAGAGTGGTTGCAGCTGCTGCTTGCAAGTTGCCTTTAAGCAACACTTCAGTTTATATACCCTGCCTGGGAAAGCCCAAATCTCTCAACCTTAAGGTTTCCAAAACACGTAGCAGCTGGCCAGCCTTAGCTGCTTGCTGCTGCTGGAGGTGAAGGTCAGAGTTGAGCTTGAACGCTTGTTCCATTGGAGCAGTGGTGGCAAAGACTCCTGTGGGAAAGGCTGTTGAGTCAACCACAGAGTGTGCAGCTACCAGTGAGGTTGAGGAAAACCTCTGTGCTGTAAAAATAGCTGCACTAGGAGCCCTAATGTACTTAAGTGCTTATTTTTCCATGTGTGATCTCATGCAAGCCAAGCTGCTGGGCAGCATGACATAGCAGTTGGCCAAAATTAAAATGTAACTCAATCAAAATGTTTTTTTTTCTGAAGTTAACTTTTGATGGGTAGGAGGGACAGGTACTCTGTTTTCTCATTTCCATTGTTCCTGTTAGGAAAAAAAAAAGTGCAGGGAGGAAAAACAGATGAAGATGGGATTGACACCTGGTATCCATTTTGTGATTATAGCCACAGGTTAAGGATAGGAATTGCAGCTTTCTTGCACAGGAAACTTATGCCTATAATACATCAAGAAAATGTACATGGGATTTCTCTGTGGGCTTCTGCAGCTGATTTCACTGAACTGAGTTTGGGTGAGTATTTGATGCTGCAAAAAAGGTACAGACCTAAAAGCATTTGAAGCTGAAGTCCATGAAGCAGGTGCAGCACCAGCAACCTTGGAACAAGGCACTCTAATCTTTGTTGATAAGCCTTAGAAAAATGTCTTTAGAGGCCTTTAGAGGTTCATTTTCCTTCACTTTGTGATACTTGACCATTAATTTATTTTTATTTTTTTATTTTGGTCAATTGTGCTAAGCCTGTATGTGGTGGGCTGATACCATGAAATCCCTAAGACAAAAGCCACTGAATGCCTGGACATGCTAGTATTTTGACCACTGTCCTTGCCAGGGTTATCATTACACTCTTTAAGAAGAAGAAAGCCTTACAAGTCCCTTGCTGGTGGAGAAGTGGACAGACCTGAGGAGTACGCTTGCTTTCCTCTTAGAAAATGTAATCCTGAATTTCATATATGGAAGCATGTGCATCTCATGGCAGAACTCTGGGTACACATAAGCAGATTTGGGGCAGTGTTTTTTTTTTTTCCCTAGCCATTAACATAACTTATAACGACTACAGATTTTTTTTTTTTTTTCTGTAATGGCAAAAGCCAGGGGAGAAAATCACTGTCACCATGGTCTTCTCATTACACTTCTCCTCTGCAGGGCCTCTGACCTGTTTCTGCTGGACACGCGGGCAGTGTGGGCATCGGAGGAGGGCTGGCTGGAGTTTGATGTCACTGCCACCAGTAACATGTGGGTGATGAACCCTCAGCACAACATGGGACTGCAGCTGAGCGTGGTGACCCGGGATGGTAGGTTACAGGCCAGGTAACACTACTCGCCTCTGGAGTCCCTTGGATGCTGTCCAGAAGTGGTGCTAACGGAACCTAGCTGGGATGTGGGAGGGTGAGCACCCTAAGCAGCTGTAGCCAACAGCACGAGCAGGGTGTCTGAGGGCACAGCTGGTGGACTGTCGGTTATTGGCTGCCCCATGATGGACATAACTTTTCACTTAAGTAAGGTCAAGTATCTCTCGACAGTACCAGGATGAGCTGGTGGAGGTGGGTTGGGGTAGTGTCCAACCTTGTTTTCTTTTTGTCTCTTCATGCTGGAGTTTGCTACACCTGTGATGTCAAGTGAGAGTAGAGGGGTTGCCCTCTGTTCTCCCTGAGGAAATGTTAATGCCAGCCTCTACCTGCCTGGTTGGGCTGAGAGCCCATCCCCGTGCTCCTGACAAAAGCACACCATCCCTTTGCCCTCTGCTTTCCCTAGAGGTCTCCTAATCTCATATCTGCTTCTTGTGTTTCACAGGCAGCAGAAGAAATTCATGACACCTCTGGGCTTTGTGTTTTATATATCTATCTATAATTCTTTATAATAGGGTAGAGAAAATGGAGAGTTTATTTATATAACTGTTTGTATAGAGTAAAAAAAGCCTAAACTGGAATAGAGATGCCAAAGAGGTACCAAAGAGCCAGGTGCTTCAGTGAAGTCTCTTGTCCAGGATGGAGTGCTGTCATAACAATGCCTGTAGGCCGTTTTGGTGGCAGGAAAGGAATGTTTAGTGTTTAAAGAAGAGCAAGAAGAAAGGAGACACTGGTTATGGGGATGTTGCGATGCTGAAAGGAACAACCCACCTGCACTCTTTTTTCTAACATTCACTTTACCCTTTGGTTTGAAGGTTTCAGTGTAAATCCTAGAGAAGCTGGCCTTGTAGGGCGAGATGGCCCTTACGACAAACAGCCTTTCATGGTGGCCTTCTTCAAAGTGAGCGAAGTTCACCTCCGGACCACTAGGTCAGCGACAAGCAGGCGCAGGCAGCAGAGTCGGAACCGCTCCACCCAGACTCAGGACGTTTCCAGGGTGTCAAGTGTCACAGGTAATCATGCAGCACAAGGCGGGATGACTTGCAGTGTTTCCGTTTGCTTTGGAGTTGAAAGAAGCAAGAAGGGGGTCGTGAGGTGGGATGCTCTTCCCTGGGGTAATAGGTTACATCTGCAAGGGGATGGTAGAGGAGAAGATCTCACGCAATAGACTCACAGGAGTCCTCTTGAATCCAGGGTGGAGTCCAGACCCCCATGTGAAGTTGCATCCATTTATTTCAAGGGGGTGAAGTATTTTAGCCACAACTCTTGTGCTTGTAGGTTGCTTGCTAAGCAGTACTTGTCTAGGATTATGCCCTGTGAAGTGCAATATTAGAAAGATTCAATCTCTGTGTACACTGAGATTTATGGTATGGCACAAATGCATTCCCAGCAGAGTCCTCTTTCAGATTTCTTTGGAAAAAATGTGGTAGAACAGCAGGAGATCTTTTTTTTTTTTTTTTTAACCTTCTGAGAACATCAATGTTTACATGGTAAAGCACATTTCCAGGCAGGCAAAGAAGTTTTCCTGTTTGCTGTGGAAAGGTTGCATGTTGCAGGTGTTTTACAGCAGCCTTATGAGTGCTGTTGCAGGCTGGTGGGGCAATACAGTAACTCTGAAATTTTTATAAAAATTGAGAGACTCTCCTGTCTTCTAATTCTTATCTGTTTTCCAGCCACTCTGCCCTCCATCACAGTGCTACAAGTCCTTTTAATTGAGTACTTTCTTCCCTCTCAAACACTTTAGCTTGTTCCAAGTTACTTGATTAATTTGCTTATGCTGCCCCCTTCATTTCTAATAGGATCCCTGCCCTTCCCGTCTCTGGAAATCACTATGCCCCAAGGAAGAGAGGCAGCTGTATTTCTTAGTTTATATCCAGACGCAGCACAGGGAGATAAGCCAGCGTTGCCAAAACTTAGCTGGTGTGAATCTGTAGGCTTTCGCCTGCTCCTGAATGCTTGGGCTGTGGGTGAGCCACGCTGCACCTGAGGCTGCTCCATGCTGGCCATGGTACTGGGAACCTTCAGGGAGCAGAGCCAGGATGGGAGCCCTTCCAGAGCTGGTGGCCAGGGTTTGTGCATGGCCATGTGTTGACTCAGCCAAATTGCTCCAGCCCATCATGCTCGTGGACTTGCCCTTTGGGCTAGGGCACGCCAGCAGCAGTTGGCCACCAGTGGCCTTCGCGTGTCCTTGTGGTGCACACTGCAGCGTGGCTGTGGGTTCCCATGCCATGCTGTGCAAGGGCCAGTGTGACTGTGAAATCCTTCATGGATTTTAAGGGCAGGAGAAATGATTCAGTCCTGAAGCCTGGCCTCCCAAGGGGAGGCTGGGCAGTGCCAGCATGGCATTGCTGGAGGAGTTAACATCTAATCTAGCATGAGAGCCCTCTGCCAGCACCTTCTGGGGGTCTAAATTTCTGAGTCCTGCTTTGGTCCTGGTTTCCTTCAGGTCTCCAAGCTGCAGATTTAAAGCTGGGCATCATGGCTGCTCTCTGAGTTGCTTTCCCACGTGATGAGTTTGCTTAAACAGAATTTTCAGATTATTAAATCAGGCAAAGTGCCTCAAAACTCCAGAGGGAGCAGATACTTCGGGCAAAAAGGGACATTTTTACATTGCTGCTTTCTTGACTACACCACACACCAGGTCATAAAATTCTAAAATGGCAAAAAAGAGAAAAAAATAGCTGGCATTCTGTGGTCTCAAGGGCTTTTTTGGGCTCTCCTAGCTTAAAGCCAGCTTTAATATAAAACCTGGAATTTGGCATTTCCGTAGTCAATAGTTGAGACTGTTAAGGTGGGGGAAAGGAGAGGCATTTAAAGTTAGGATGTATGTTTGGTTGGTTTCTGTGTTTAGAAAAGAGAAACTACATCAGCTTGTTTTCCATTCTAAGTGCGATACTCTCAGACCCTGTTCTCTTTAGGAAGTGGTTAATTTAACAACCCAAGAGGCACCAATGACCAATAAGGGTTTTTAGCATTAAAGAGATTACAGGGGGTTTTCATAATTTTTTTTAAAGTGTGAGGGTTTCTACATCCATGGCCCTGGGATTACCCTGAAGTCTGCTTAGTTCTCCTGAGGGTGCCCTGATGCATCTGGACTCAAAGCAGGTGCAGAACTGGGTTGCATCTCCCCACCTATGCATCTTTTTCTCCTGCTGTATCTTTTATCTTGTCAAATTTTTGGTCTGTGTTCTTACTCAAGCTCGGACTGCTAGCTGCCTTCCAGGGCTTAAGAGCAGTTTCTCTCCTTGAGAGCAAAGGCAGTGGTTTGGTGTTGGTGGTTTTCTCGGTAGATTCAAACTTCCTTTCTCTATATTAGTGGATGCACAGGGGGTTCATTTTTCAGTCCAAAAAAGAACCCCTTTTCCTAAAGATACTGTGAATTGTTTTGGGGAAATATGTTTTTAAAAGCCTCATTTACTATCGAGACATGACAAGCATTTCAAGTCCTGCAGTTTGGAGTGCATGAAGTGTGCTGCTGGGCTGGTATTGGATCTGGTGAACTGGGGGTTAGGTGAAAGCATCCTGCTGTGTGTGGGAAAGGAACCCCACTTTGACATGCAGTTGTTGTCCTGCAGTCAGTACCAAGAGCTCAGATACTAAGGCTATGGCTGTGGCATAAGATTCTCAGTGATCTGTGTCTTATTTCCCTGTATTACAAACACGTAATTATGATTGGCTTGTATAAAGCAGAACTGAATAACCCCCATGGTTATAAACTGCTTTGACGCAAGGGTCCTGCATCAATACATTCTTGGAGCCAAGCTCAGTTCTTCTGTAGAAGGAGGACAAGCAGGAAGAAAAGGGAGTATTTTCATCTGCTGGGGCAGAGGATCACATGCCAACTCTGGCTCAGGATGTGGAGGTATGAGGTGGGTGGGAGGAGAGTACAGGTATTTCTCTGATGTTGTCTGCAAGGTCTGGAGCCCCTCAGCCAAATCTTGCAGTGGGTTGAGCTTGTGCTCTCAGACTCCACGCTGACCCTCTGGTTAACTGAAGAGATGGGGACTGTCTTCAGCGTAACAGATGGTGACCCTCTGCCATACAGCCAACTCCGTGATTTACGGTTTCTGCACAGGCCTATCTCCTTGTCTGGTGGCAATAATCCTTCTCTTCTGCAAGTCAGCCTTCAGGCATATCCCTTCCCATCAGCCCTTCCTGATGGAGACCATTTAAACACCTGACTTTGGGCTGTGCTTGCTGCTCTGAGTGAAACTCAAGCAAAACTGTTTTTCAGGTCTTTCTCTTTAGCCATCCTAGGGCCCCTGGGATTTGTGTGAGGTGCTCCATGAAAAATAAAGAGGCCCTCCAAGTGGCCTTTCCGTCCAGCAGACACGCACAGCACCAGACAGATTTCCCCACGCGTACGGGAACCAAATATCGCAAAGGGCAGTTTGCACAAACACTGAAGGCAAATAAAGCCAAATGCTTTTGTGATGGCAAGGGTCTTGTTAACAAACTTCATTATCTGGCAGCCCATCTTCCCTTCAGCATAGTGCTTGGATGCAGAGTGGAGCAGCATGGCCAGAATTTCTGTATGTGCCTTCACATGCAAGTTCATGTCAGCCCAACATCTCCCCTTCTTCCCACCCAAGCAGATCACTTTCATGTGAAGTGGGCTATTATTAAGTGTGTGATCAGTTTACACCAGCTTTATCCGGGAAAATCACCAAAGTCAAACACCAAGAAGAAGGGGCTGGCCTTGGAGACCTCTGTCAAAGCTATTTTGAATCACAGAAGCAATTAATTACCGTGTGGAATTTGGTAAACTGGCACCTGGGGAGCAGCAAGAGTGTTCTCATTCGGATCGACCTCAGTAAATATTTATATGTTCTTTGCCAGCACTTAACGTGGGAGAGGTTATAGGAAATCTAGGGTTAGTGCATAAGTATCTGTAGGAGGAAGACTATTAGGGTCAGGCTATTCTCTTGCCCTTTTCAGGAACACACATGCCAGTGTCCAGCCTTAAGAGAAACATCTGTGCTTGCAGAAAGTCCGACTTGGGGCCTGATGAAGGCAGACAACATTCAGTGCAAACAAGCTGCAGAAACAAGCCATCTTAACTGTGCTGTTTTAACTGTGTTGCTCTGTGAGTTATTTTTAAGTGCAGAACTAGGGGTTTGGGTTTTTTTAAATCTCTGTTTTAAGCAAAATAGTTTGCAGTATGATTAAATGCAGTGCCTTGTAAATGCCAAGCTAGTGTTTCTGAATTGGTATGTTCAGAGGAAAAAATAGAGATGATTTTGCTAAACTCACAATGAGCCTATAGGAACTCCCAAAGCAGCTCTCTGAACTCTCAGGGATTTTAAGGGTCTCTGGCAAACAATCCTCACAAATTATGCTGTAGCAGTGTAAGCTGGCCCCATGGAAGTTGTTTGTAGCATCCCCCTCTGCTGCAGGCTGTCTGCTCTTGGCCCTCCTGGCTCCTTGCTGCAGGGCTGGTAGGAAGGGACACGAACCCTGTTGCCTCTTGCCAGTTGGATCTTGCACTGCTGCACCACCTCAAATGGCAATTTGGGCTAAAACAGCTGAGCATGCTAGTCTGGGGTAGCTGATGCTGCTTTCCAGGCTTTGGAGAAGTTGTGTTGTGGAAGCCAACTTCAGTAGCTCAGTCAGCTTTAGCTCACTGCCAAAACCCCTTGACTGTGTGTATTCCTCTTTTTTCAGGGCCATAACTGGATGTACATTTAATATACGTGGCTCTAGGGCATATGCCGAGCACCTAACCGTAGGGTTATGACTTGTGTGCATCTGTTTTGCTGCCTTTTTTTTCTCCAATTCAGAAAGTCAATGCTAAGATTGCTTAAAGGTTAATAAAACCCCTGAAGTTTGGCTAAAGTAACTTCCATGAAGTAGACATAGTAGGCAAACACATAACAAGAAAACAGGGCAGGGAATCAATGTTGGGGTGAGGGTTAAACAGGGAAGAGTGCAAATCCAGGGAGAGAGGATGTTTACTATGTTGACATTCCAGAAAGCAAAGGCTCAGTCTGGGCAAGTGAGAAGATAGAACTGTCTGCATCTGCCTTGGATGGAGAGCAGCCAGGGCTCCATGCAGAGTGTGAATCAGGTGATTCCAACCAGTGAGCTGAGGCGAGGTTTTGGGGGCAGTGTGAGAGAGGACACGTTCATAACATGTTCTGCTTCATGTAGCTTGTTAAGCAGCTTTTTTTTTTCCACCCCTCTGTTTTCTTAAACTTGTGATTGCTTGCAGCCTTCCTTCCTACTCCTGTTTTCTCTGCCTCCCTTGCCTTCTCCCCTTTCCTGTAGCAGATTTGGGTATGTTGTAGCTGGATTTGGAATGTAGCATCATTCTGCCCACTCAGTCGTGAATAGATGAACTCCACTGTAACTCCCAAATACAGATGGTTTTCTTCTAAGCAAACTACGTATTTCCCATTGAGGAATGGGACACAATGAAGTTGTGTTTTCAGGTACTTAGAGGAAAGCCTTTGATCGCTAAAAGTACCTTCTGCTCATTTTTTTTCCCCCCTCATTATGACCAGATCATTTCAAAACATCTCATGCTAGAAATTTGCTCCTAGGCTGAGCCAGGGACTGAAAAGCTTCATCTGAAAAAAAACCACCACACCCTGGTTTCTTCTGGGTATGTCTGGTTTGAAAATGGAAATCTTGAATAGAGAGACTCTCCTCCGTCCTTGCTACCACATGCTCCTGAAAGAGTGAATGTTTATACTGCAGCAGGCTGTTAACCAGCTCTGCTCACCTGATTAAATCCGTGATTGAAGCAAAGCTATTGAAAGTCTGAAATGCAATCCTTAGAGTTTAAAACCCAAGCTGCTTCTAAAAACAACTCTCTAATCTTTGGTGGTTAGGAGGCTGGGTTTGAGGTGTAGGGTTTTTTTCAGCCCTCAGTGTTAACTGTACCCAGCTGTACTGCTGTGCTGCCCTTAATGTCAGTTGGATGTGCTTTTAGTATTATAGTTTTTCTTTTGAATAAATATTTGCATTTGTAGTTCCCAAACTTTGGCGGGGGGGGGGGGGGGGGGGGGGGGGGGGGGGGGGGGGGGGGACGGGTGCTGGAGGGAAGAAAAAGAAAGGCTTATTCAGAGCCAAGGAAAAAGTCACTAAAAATATTTTTCTATCCCAGCTGCTGCATCTGGGGGAAGCTGCGCTGGGAGGGTGCCCTTTCAAGCCATGTTAGGGGCACCAGGGGGCTGGTAAGCCAAAAGGTCCAGGGCAGTGGGAGGCAGGCACATCATCGTGTGGCATCTGCCTGCTGACAGAAGCGTCTTTACTTGCAAATGAGGTGTGTGAGAGAGGAGGAGGCCCCTGTGGAAAGGCATGGGAGGAGAACATGGACCGTGAAAACATGGGCTCCCACGCTGCCCTGCTGAATTTGCTGCCATCTCTCCCCCTCTTGCTTCCCCTCGAGTGCACAGCGCGGGTTCAGCAGCTGTCACTGGTGGCCAAGCCGCTCCGCTGCAAAGGTGGTTTCTGTGGCTGCTCTGCTGAGGTCCAGCAGCCACCTGAGGTGTGACAAAATCAGCAACCACCCGTCAGGGCTGGATTTGTGCAGCCACCCGGAGGTAAAAGGCCCCTCTGTCACACCTCAGCTCCTCTGTGGTTCCAGGTGTTCACATGTGGAGCTGCCTCTCTTTCCAAATATAAATTGGAAATTCCACTCGCTGTCAAAAGCTGTACTTTGTGGGGTCATCACGAGCAGCTCCTGCATGGTTGAAACATCCTCATACATTGCGTCATGGCAAGGGAGAAGGTCTCTGGTCAGGGCTTTGCACCCTGCATTCCCTCTCTTTGGTGAAGTATTGGCACTGAGGAGCAAGTGAGTGGTGAGAGCATGTCAAGTTCTGTGTCACCTGCAAATAAGCAGCTTATCAAAAGGAGAAACAGGTTTTTCAGAGCATGGTTTGTAAAGGTCCAAGGGCAGAGGCGGTGCATGGAGTGATGTCTGGGGAAGGCTGGGGATGGACTTCCCTGCCTATGGGACACTTAGCTGTTTAAGGACTCCTGCTAACTGCCACAGGGACACAAGGTGATGATTAACCTTCCTGGGGCTGTAATTCTCTCAGTACGTGTGTGCGGTTTGAGCTCACCACCTGGGGCGGCACACACTGGAAACTGCAGCTGAGGAAGTGGGGTGAGTCTGAGCGCCCAGTGGGGATGTAGCCTATGCTGGGCTGAAGGAGTAGATTTATTTTTAAGAAGTCGTTTTACTGGAGGTGTTTTACAAGCACTTTGAAGGCAGCTGAAGTAATTATAACTGAGTCACTGTTACTTGGGTTCCTCCACTCCCAAAGGCATCTTAAAAGCTTCAGCCCTGCTTCGGATGTCCCTCAACACCCTTATCCTTTTGGCTGCTGAGGGAGCTCATCATTTCTCGCTGCTGAGCCCACACCATGCACACACTTGGCCAGCTGTGCCCTGCAGCAATGCTCTGCCTGTTTAACTTTCTAAATTCTTGTTTTGTTCTTTTTATTTTAACAGATTACAACAGCAGTGACTTAAAAACAGCTTGCAGAAAGCATGAGCTTTACGTTAGCTTCCAAGACTTGGGATGGCAGGTGTGTGATGTTTCTCTCTGGGTAAACTAGACATTTTGTTATGAAATGTTATCTAAACAGTGTCACGGTAATTCCACTCGAGTCTGCCATTATGCTTTAAAATGTCCCTTGTGCCTTCTCACTAAAACCAGTCACAGGGTAGGGCAAATAAATATTGATAGTTGTGACATTTGATAAGATCCAGAGGAAGCTTGATACTTTATGAGATTCAAGTATACAGTCATTCTCTGTCACTCATGGGAGTCACGGTACGGGCAAGGGTTTATATCTGTGTACCTCTAATGATAAGGAAAAAAAATCTGATGTTAAGCAGTGATTTTAACTAAATTTTTTTTTGTAGTGTTCAGCCACTGTTTGAAATGGGCCATTGTTTGAAATCCTCCACCCCTGCCCCACCATTAGCACTGCCTGTGGTAGGTAGACTGAAGACTGGGTGTAGTTGCAACACCTCAAGGCCAGAAAGTTGTTTAGAGTAAGTTACTTAGGACCAGGCCACAGTGCAATCAAACAACACATTTCAAAGAATGCCTTCACCTTCTCATTTTTATAGTTTTTAAATTTTTCTTTCATTCTTTCATTCAGCACTTTTGTGAGGGAGGTCCCATTTCTGTCAGCTCATGTTTTGACCTGGTTATAATTCAGAATGCCAGGGCTGCCCCTGGTGCTGTGCCTGGACATGGAAGTCCTCTCTCAGCTAATGGGACAGCAGCATTTTTTGTAACTTACGTCAACTCCAGCCCACTAGCTGCAACTGTGGCTGCATGCTGACTCCATTCCCCATTACTTCTGAGAGGTTTTTCTCCTGTGAGCAGTTTTTCCACCTCTTCCTTAGCTGACTTGTCCTGCTTTTGGGCAGGAAGCGGATTCCAGTTGTGAAATTCATGGTCTTGAAGGCAGTGCCTTCATGTTTCTAGTTGTAGAAAGGTACAATGCAGCCAAAGGCAGGCCACAAACCAGCAGCGCTCGTTGCTAGAGTTGGAACCCAGGTCCTGCTTGTTGCAGGGAGATGATCAAGGCAGGGCAGCAGCCCCCTGCAGTTGTTTGGCACTCCAATTTTCTTCAGAACATCCATTAATTTTTTTTTTTTAGCAGAGCACTTCCCTTATTCTTACAGCACATTAAACCACAAATTTAATTACACAGTCTGTACTGGCTTCTCTAGCAGGAGGATGATTTTCTTATGAAAAGCAGCTTAGTTTACCAGGAGCAAATTATGGGCAAACTAGTACAGTAAAATGAAGGGGAGTTTTTGCTATGCCCAAGTATCCTCATGGTAGCAAACTTGGCTAGCAAAGCTACAGCAACAGCGTCTGGCTGCTCAGGCCCGCTGTAGCAAAATTCAAGCAAACAGAGGTAATTCTTGTCCGGTAAAGGGGAAATTGTCTAAGAATTACGTGCACATGAGGGATACCAGCATGTTCTTCTGCAGGATAACCTGCAGAGCCTGACACCAAAGGAAGCAAAATATCTCCTGTTAATTATTGCTGCTTTTTGTTTTCCTTTGGCTCTTTCGTGTCAGCAGCAGAGAAGCTGTAATTTTTTTATGAGCCCTTTGGTGAAGAGTCACCTTCTTCTTCCCTACTATGGGACTCAAGAGTGCCACTGAGGCCACCTGTTTGCACATGCAGCTCAGGCTGGCTGTCCTGCCCCTCCTTGAAAAGTCTGGCAGATCACGCAGAAGCTGTTACACAGCTAAGACTTCCCACAGTGGCCTTAGCAGGCTAGTGTCCCTGTTTAAGGGTGTATAAGATAGAGTGTCTGTGAGGCACTGCACCAGGTTTTTTTATTCCTGTTGTGAATCTCCCTCAGGCTTGAACTGTGCCTGTGTGAATGCATGGATGTGATTTTTTTCCATGAGGGGGCACCAGCTGTAGCTGTGATTCAACCTAGGAAAGGTAGTTCAGCCAGAGGGCCTAACCTGCAGGAAATGTTGGAACGTAAAGGCCTCCAAACCACAATCCCCACAAGGCAACTCCACAAGAATTTTAGGGATAAAACTCTTAGTTTATGGCAATACATACATGTGCACCATTCTCTGGACATTAAAATCAGTGTATCCTTGGAAAAGTGATGGCTCAAGAAAAACCAAAATCCAAAACCCCAATCAAAGGCCTAACAGTTTCAGTGAAAACACATTTTCACCCTCAAGAAAAAAGTTAGTGGAAAATTTTCAGCTGCTCTTAATTGCATGCAGTTGTCTGTTGAATCATGTTCTATTTGTTTCCCTAAAAAGGACTGGATAATCGCTCCAAAGGGCTATGCAGCCAACTACTGTGATGGGGAGTGCTCATTCCCACTCAATGCCCACATGAACGCAACCAATCATGCCATTGTCCAAACTCTGGTAAGTCTCCAGCCAGCTCGGTGCCAAAGCACCAGGTGAACTTGTAAACAAGATACCATTGTCTCAGTTTTGTTTTCTTTCTTGGCAACAGGTTCATCTTATGAATCCTGATTACGTTCCCAAACCATGCTGTGCACCTACCAAACTAAATGCCATATCTGTTCTTTACTTTGATGATAATTCTAATGTAATCTTGAAGAAATACAGGAATATGGTAGTAAGAGCTTGTGGATGTCACTGACAAACAGTCTTCACATGGACTCTGTGATGCTACCACGAACTTTGATACAACCTTCCCTGCTTTCAGGAGCTGGGAGAAAAAAAGCATGTGATGTACCACGTTTCAGAACACCATGTATGTGCCTTGTGGGAGGACGGGGTGTGGGGACCACCCCTTGGGGTGTGAACTGCTGGACTTCTTACAGACTGACCCTACGCCGCGGTCAGCAGCAGCAGCAATTTGCCCACACGCTTTATTTGGCTGGGATGGTCTTAAATCTCACAGAGCAGCTTGGCCTTTAGCAGTTGCTTGGACATCTGCTGCAGTTTTACCAGGTGGGCTAACAACACTCAAAAAAAAAAGTGAGGTCTTTTTCTTGGGGGTGGGGAGGGAAGACGAGGGGGAGAGGCAGAGAAGCTAAAGAAAGTGGTGTTGGCACTTTGGTCATAGAGCATACGTCTCGTGCAAGATCGTTTTGTCCAGAAGGACCAGCTACTACGCCTAGGCTGATGGTCTCCTCCTGACAGCTGTCACGACAGTAAAGCATCTAAAATTGTGCCAAAGTAAATGTTTCAGTTCTCTTATGCTCCAAGCACTGTTTAACTCTGATCCTGCAAGCGTAAGATGGCTTGGTTGCACCATGTGTTAGAAACACTACCATGAACTCAGACCCTGGCTGGTCTTGCCAGTTCCCTCTCTGACTGAGCAGTACAACTTTATACACTCATTCTTATGCAACTTCCTTCCCCTCCCCAAACGAGGTGGCCTCATCTACTACCAGTTGCCCAGGAAGGAAGTCAGGACACTTCTAAAGCTGTAATTCAGATGTAAAAGTTTAGGGGCCATTCATTCTCTAGCTGGACAGTTTGTTTACAGGAAGACAGAATGTCAACAACATTTGCAACCTTTTCCATTCAACTCACATGACTAACAAATCGGTTTAAAGGATACACAGTGTAACCATGGTTTGTCTAGCAGAAGCTAATAGCAAATTGTTTTGATCAATATTAAACTTGTATTAAATGCACTTACCTCTACTTGCATTTAAAAGGCTTCTTGTAAATACAAGCTATAATTTATTGCACTTGTCACTGTATATTCATTGTGCTGTATCATTTATAGCAAGACTGCTTTTTTAAAAAGTTTTTATTTAGAAAAAATCTCAGTGTAAACAATTGTACCACTTTGATTTTATACAAGAAACTCATGAGATTGTGCTTCACTAGAAAGTTGTTAAAAATGTAATAAAGGCTTCCTGTAAGACAGAAGTATACACATTGTTCCAATACATCTGCCTGTACAACACTTAGCTTTCACTGTGACTTTTTCACCTTCACACATTTTTAGATTGAACAGAATCAAAAGTTCTGGACAGACAGTGAAGTGAAGTACCAGGAGAAATTCACTAGTTGGAAAATTCATAGATGTTTTGCCTTTTTTTTTTTTTTAATAAAAAAGAAAAACAACCCAATCTACTCCATATGATGGACAAAACCCAGTATCTTGACAGATTAGTCAAATTAGCCTGTAGCTATCCTCATTCCATGAGTTTCTACGCACGAGACAGCAGAATTCAGGTCCTTGGTTTGCTGTTGCCTTTGTATCATGACAGTCTCTGCAATGTAAATTCTTTGGCTTTCAATTAAATCTAACATGGAACATCTTATGCACCAAAGAATAGATTCATATTATAATCCAAGATACCACAAAGTGCGTGGCCCTAGCATTCGAACTCATCAATGCTTACTGCTTGGAAAAAGGTTAAGGCTCAAGAAGAAGGGGGAACTATTTTACACTACTGTAGAACAGCTGAATGGAAAAGAAAATTAAACTTTGTACCACTTGTTGTTCTCCAAGTACTCTGAATAAAGAGCAGGTCAGCACAAAGTTTGGATTCAGGCGAGGAAACACATCATCAGCTCGGAAGTCTAACTGATCACTTACTATTAACAGAGCAGGTATAACAGCACCTATTATTCACTCTGGCTCTATAGAAGTAGAGCATAGTTGCACCTCTGGAGCTGGATGGCAGCAGCCTATAAAAATCCACCTGACACATGTACAAGGTGGCATCAGTAATGTTCAGGCACATGTTACAGTACCATCACCTCCACTATGGCTAGACCTCCCATGCTGAGAGGATTAACAGGAAATAACCAGCTCACAGGGGCCTGGTATCTTCCAAAGGTGTGTGTGTTTTCAACCTTTCAGCAGCTATATTAACACAAATAGGATTTAAGTACAGTTGTAGAGGGCAAAAGTGACAGTGCAGCTGTCACTTTTGCCTCTCTAGTAATGGTGAACAGTTTGTAAGGATTACTTTTTAACCAAATCTAACCTGAAGACAGAAATATTGTACTGCTGCCCTTCAGTTGGTTTTCCTAATGTATTTTAGTCTCAAAGGAAACCATTTACACTTCATTGCAGGAATGCAGAAATGCAGTAATACTACCAATGCTGAAAATATAACCCATTTGCACAGTAGCTACTTGTTTTCCTTCACACACAGGGTAGTATGCCTTTAACACACACACAAGGGGAAGATACCAATGTTTAGTACATTCAATTTCCTAGAAACAAAGAAACAAAAAAAGCCCCAATCCTACCCCCACCCCCCAAATACACTACTTGAAAATTAGCAAAGATAGGAATCCCTCAGCCACTGTACAAAGACAGCCAGGGGCAGAGCATCCAGACTTTTATTACAGTTCATCCCTTGCCTGACGCAAGACAAAACTATGCAGTGATTCCAGGTCTCTCGTTCCATTGTGTTCACTGACTTTCTTTCCGCCTCGGAAAAGCAGAAGTGTAGGATAACCACGTACCTTCAAAAGACACATACAGAAAGGGAACTTACTAATGTTCAAACTTGTATCCATCACTCATGTTTACCCGACTATGAAAAGCCTCTGAAGCCCTCTGAGACAATAGGCCATTTTAATTTAAAAAAACACAAACCCACAGCAGAACTTTCAATGCCAACCTGAAATGTCTGAACATTTTAAGTGAATGGGATAATACATGTTCCTCTAGGCTCTTGGGATAGCAGCTCTGTCTTCAATTGTCTGTCTACTAGCACCAAAGATTTTTTTTTTCTAAGAACAGAACTTTCCATCAGATACCACAAGACTGCCCTGGTGCTTTCACAGAAGGAGGCTTCTTAAAATAGGGGCTTCTTCAGCTTTACCCAATAATGAGAATGACCACGTCCAAACGGCTAGTCCAGGAGAGAAATGGTGTCACCAGGTGCTGTCCTGAACTGCCTCTTTTTGGCTAACAAACACCACTGTCACCAGGCACCTGGACTGCAGCAGGCAGTTTGGCCTGCAACATTTGGTACCCCATATTATCTCATTAATTTCAGATCTTTCACACTTACAGAAAATCTGTTGCAGACGTTACGTTCCACAGTGCAGTCTACTTCTGCTATTTTGACATCAGTCAAACCTGGAAATTGCTCTTTGGCAAGATTCTCCCAAGTTGGAGCCAAGTTCTTACAGTGACCACACCTAGAAACAAAAGAGGGAGATTTATTTAGCAGACATACTTTCCAGTTTATCTCTACTGTCTTGCTGCAATTGCTTTAACAAGCTGCCTTTCCTATCTGCTAATGATTTGGCCCTCCAAGTCCCTTACACTATTATGTCAGTAAATGAGCTAAGAAAACAAGTGATTTTATTTAAGTTAAGCACTGAAGTACTTTCTGGCCTTTGTTAGTCTTGCCTAGAATGGTATTCTAGATGTCGGTGCATTAGTATTTTACCCCACAGAGAAATATGAAGCCAAATAAAGACAAGCAGAGAGAATATTTAACTGGAGAAAAAAAAAAAAAAGCATCTCTTGGAACAAACATGCTTTTAGGAAGGCACAGAATGTCTGTAGTACAAATTAAGTTTTCAGGTAGCATAAAGCTACATAGCTCGAGTTTAATTATTTAAATGATATTTTAATTTCCCTATTAAATTTCTTCCAGTTTTTAATGGCCTCCTTGACCAATGCATAGTAATTTTGTTTATATTCTGAACTTGGCTTAGCCAAGTTCCTAACGTGAACTTCTTATTGCCTTCAAGAAGAATTCCCAAAGCACTTTAGATTTTAAAGCTGCATTGCTCATTCTGTTCTAACCCAGCTGCACCTTAATTGGATTATTAAAACAGCCCCATAATTGCCTTGAGGCTGGATCAGGGCATTTACAAAAATAATGAAAGATGTCTCAGCAAAAGTTTTCTTAATGCAAGCCAGTGTATATTTAAACCACCTTGTTAATACTTAGTGACAGTATGAAAGCATTTCTGACCACGCACAAAACCTACTAGAACAGGATGATTTTATACTTACTATGCAAGTTAACATTAATATTTATCCAAAACTAACTGAAAGACAGAACTAGCAAGCAACATAATAGTCTTTTCTGAGCCTTGCATAAGTTAATCCACTTGAAAGAGAATAATTTCATTTATATGGAGAGTACTACAACTGTATATATAAGCCTGACTTTCATAGCTAAAACTAGGATACCAGCTATAAAAATTTAGGAAGCATTTTGTTAAACGGTAGCTTTCTGAACGTTGCAGCCAGAGAGCATGCACTTGTTTAAGAACTTGACTCTGCATTCTGAACCACCACCGTTTCTCAGCCTGCCATCCAACACCGATCCTACCTGCGAGATATGGCAGCATCCCATGAAAATCTCATGAGATGTGGAGATGGGTATTACTATAAAAACTAATAAAAAAGGGAGCATTTCTTTATCTCAAAATTTTCCAAAAAAAGTTTCTCAGATAATGAACTCCTAGATATGCCAACAAGCCCTGGGTTCAGAAATCAGACTGGAAGTTGCTCTGTGCACAGGTGCAAACTGAATTTATCAGCCAGTTCAGCTGGTGGTGCGATAGCAGCACAGGCACAGATTCAGTCCCAGTCCCTCACTGAGCACAGAGGGGACGGAGGGAGTGAGGAGAGAACAGCAAACACGAGGGTGTGTGTGCGCTGTGGGCAGGGTATTTCTTAACCAAATGGCGGAAAATCCTTGCTCACATCCAAAAGCAGTTCCTTCAGATGGAAGAGAGAATAGAAATGGCTCTCAGGCAGCAAACCACACTGTGGTGAAAAGGGTGACAACCTGGAAAAGACTGCATCTTTGAGCTTACATAAAATGAAACATTCCTAGGTACTTCTTGCCTACGTGCATGCCTACTGTCAGGGTTAATATCTTGATACGCCTGAGCACATTTAAATATGGGTTGCATTTGCTTGTGTTGCTTTGTAATGGGGCCTTTTACCACCCCAAACAAAAGATCTTTTCATATTTTATATACTACATTAATGGGATGGCTTAGTGATGAAATCAGAAATGTGTTATCTTCCTCACAGTGACATACAGCTTAATTTTAATCTCTTCCCCTACACTAGGCTTCCTTGCGTTGGCTAAGAAACCAGGCAATGGATGAGCAAGATGGCATGCCAGTTTCATTAAATTCAATGAAGGCACAAATAAGATGACTTCTATAAACCAGAGAGAGAACTGTTAAACTTTCTTTTTCTCTCAGAACAGGAACAGTAAGAAAAAGGCAGAAATGTTTGTACTTATGAGTTTGTAATACTGAGGTCTTACCCCAGCTCAAGTCCCAGGCTCTGCTGTATATTCCAGTGATGGCAGATGCCAGATAGGACATTACTTTAATTTCCCCCTCCAGTGCCTTCCATTGGGTGTCTACACCTACACCATCTGTACTGGACACTTCTACCTTGGCTCACTGTAAGAACATACTACGTGAACCTACACTCTTAAGAACATCTTAAAATTGTCTCGTGTGCAAATTAGTTTTTTGGCAGTTATTTGAAGAGTTAACAGGCAATTATCCACAGCTCAACAGTCTGTATCAAAAACCAGGTGCTTAAATGAGGCTTCCAAGAGAGCTGGTTGTGACAGGAAAGGGCTCAAAAGCCAGTATGCTTTCCTTTCTCAACACTGGAGATACGCTCCCCTCACCTTATCCTAATCCAGGGATAGGAGCATGCTAAGCCTGCAAAGAAAGCTTCACTCCCCTCGTTCCCCAGAATTGCCTTGAAGCTGACACAGTAAAGCTTCTCTGTCAGCCTTTCCGGAGAGAGGCATCTCAAGAGAGCTAAAACCAGACTGAGCTTTTCTGCTGTAACTCTTGCCAACACACACATTCTTCAGTTAATTCAGAGTTTATATCCAGACAACAGATACCGTACTACACACAACTCCAAGACCTACAGTAACTAATACCCCACAGCTTAGACCAACAAT